AGAATGGTAATGAAATCCATTGTTGCTGCGGCATGGACGATTTTGTTCGTAGTTTTTTATGTGAGGATTTGGACGCAGAGAGGCCAAGATGGACGTTGGTCTGATCAGGCTAACAAGCAGGTTCTCAATTTTCTTATTGCAGCCCTCGTATTTATTGTTCCGGAGGTTCTGGCGTTGGTTTTTTTTATCCTTCCATGGATTAGGAATTTTATGGAGGAGACCAACTGGAGGATCTTTTATATGTTATCCTGGTGGTTCCAGGGCAGGACCTTTGTTGGCCGTGGGTTGCGGGAAGGTCTTGTGGATAATATTAAGTACAGCTTGTTCTGGATTCTGGTGCTTGCTACAAAGTTCAGCTTCAGTTATTTTCTGCAGATCAGACCCATGATTGACCCGACAAAATCACTGTTGAAACTGGGGCATGTGGAGTACGAGTGGCATCAGTTCTTTAGGGGGAGTAACAGATTTGCTGTCGTTTTACTTTGGCTCCCTGTTGTCTTGATCTACCTCATGGATGTGCAGATTTGGTATTCAATCTACTCCTCTTTTGTTGGGGCAGCTGTAGGGTTGTTTGATCACTTGGGTGAAATACGGAATATCCCACAGTTGAGGCTAAGGTTCCAGTTCTTTGCCAGTGCAATTCAATTTAATCTAATGCCTGAAGAGCAACTTCTGAATGCCAGGGGGACACTGAGGAGCAAGTTTAAAGATGCTATTCATCGGTTGAAGCTTAGATATGGTCTTGGCCACTCTTATAAGAAGCTTGAATCTAACCAGGTTGAGGCAACTAAGTTTGCTATTATATGGAATGAGATAATTACTATTTTCAGGGAAGAAGATATCATCTCTGACCGTGAGGTCGAGCTATTGGAGTTGCCCTTAAATTCTTGGAGTATAAAAGTTATTCGCTGGCCATGTTTCCTTCTTTGCAATGAGCTTCTGCTTGCACTCAGTCAGGCCAAAGAATTAATAGATGCTCCAGACAAATGGCTCTGGCATAAGATATGCAAGAATGAGTATAGACGTTGTGCAGTTATTGAAGCTTATGAATCCATCAAGCATTTGCTATTAGAGATTCTTAAGCACAATTCTGAAGAGAAATCAATCATGACAGTTTTGTTCCAAGAGATTGATCACTCTATCGAGACTGAGAGATTCACAAGAACGTTCAATATGAATGCATTACCAGAGCTCCATACCAAGTTGATCAAACTTGCTGAACTATTGAAAAAACCTAAGAAAGACAATAACCAAGTGGTGAATACTCTGCAGGCCCTTTATGAAATTGCTACTCGAGACTTCTTCAAGGAGAAGCGGAGTGGTGATCAACTAAGAGATGATGGATTGGCTCTTCGTAACTCAACTTCAACCACTGGGCTTCTTTTCGAAAATGCTGTTAAGTTTCCCGATGTTAGTAATGAGACCTTTTATCGCCAGGTTCGCCGTCTGCATACTATTCTTACTTCTCGGGATTCTATGCATAACATACCAATAAATCTTGAGGCAAGGCGCCGACTTGCCTTCTTTAGTAACTCCTTATTCATGAACATTCCTCATGCACCTCAAGTTGAGAAAATGATGGCTTTCAGTGTTCTGACCCCCTACTACAGCGAGGAAGTATTATTCAGCAAAGAACAGCTTCGTACTGAAAATGAAGATGGAATTTCGATTCTGTATTATTTGCAGACAATTTATGTTGATGAATGGAAAAATTTCCTGGAGCGTATGCGCCGAGAAGGGATGGTGAAAGACAATGAAATTTGGACGGCCAAGCTAAGAGATCTTAGGCTTTGGGCGTCATTCAGGGGCCAGACGCTAACCCGAACCGTGAGAGGAATGATGTATTATTATCGAGCTCTCAAGATGCTGGCTTACTTGGATTCTGCTTCAGAGATGGACATCAGGGAAGGATCGCAAGAACTTGGTTCTATGAGACAAGAAGGTAGCATTGATGGTTTAGCCTCCGAAATGTCACATTCGTCTAGGAACTTAAGTAGAACAGGCAGTTCAGTAAGTTTGCTTTTTAAAGGCCATGAGGATGGGACCGCTTTGATGAAATATACGTACGTGGTTGCCTGTCAGATCTATGGGACCCAAAAGGCCAAAAAAGATCCTCATGCTGAGGAAATCTTGTACTTGATGAAAAGCAATGAGGCCCTGCGAGTTGCCTACGTTGACGAGGTTTCTACAGGGAGAGATGAGAAAGATTACTACTCCGTTCTGGTAAAATATGATCATCAGCTAGAGAGGGAAGTGGAGATTTACCGGATAAAGTTGCCTGGTCCCTTGAAGCTTGGAGAGGGTAAGCCAGAGAACCAAAATCATGCTATTATCTTTACACGTGGTGATGCAGTGCAAACAATTGATATGAACCAAGACAATTATTTTGAGGAGGCACTCAAAATGAGAAATCTCTTGGAAGAATTTAAGCGCAATTATGGAATTAGGAAGCCCACTATCTTGGGAGTCAGAGAACATATTTTCACTGGTTCTGTTTCATCGCTTGCTTGGTTTATGTCAGCTCAGGAAACTAGTTTTGTCACATTGGGTCAACGGGTTTTAGCTAACCCATTAAAGATTCGAATGCATTATGGTCATCCAGATGTCTTTGATCGATTTTGGTTCTTGACTCGAGGTGGAATCAGTAAAGCATCCAGAGTGATTAACATCAGTGAGGACATATTTGCTGGCTTTAACTGTACGCTACGTGGAGGTAATGTTACGCACCATGAATACATCCAAGTAGGCAAGGGGAGGGATGTTGGATTGAATCAGGTGTCCATGTTTGAAGCCAAAGTTGCTAGTGGAAATGGGGAGCAAATTCTCAGCAGAGATGTATACAGGTTGGGCCACAGGCTAGACTTCTTCCGTATGCTATCATTCTTTTACACTACCGTGGGATTCTTTTTCAACACAATGATGGTAACTTTAACAGTATACGCATTCTTATGGGGACGACTTTATCTTGCTCTCAGTGGTATTGAAAATGCTATCGCAAGTGAATCTAATAATGGGGCACTTGCTACAATCTTGAACCAGCAGTTCATCATCCAACTTGGTCTTTTCACTGCACTACCAATGATAGTAGAGAATTCTCTTGAACACGGTTTCCTTCAATCAATCTGGGATTTTTTGACCATGCAGCTCCAGCTTTCATCTATATTCTACACATTTTCCATGGGAACTCGTGCTCATTATTTTGGAAGAACAATTCTTCATGGTGGTGCAAAGTATCGGGCCACAGGCCGTGGTTTTGTTGTGCAGCACAAGACTTTTGCAGAAAACTACAGGCTTTATTCTCGTAGCCATTTCATTAAAGCAATAGAACTTGGTTTGATTCTTACTGTTTATGCAGCACATAGTGCAGTATCTGCTGACACATTTGTTTATATTGCCATGACCTTCACTAGTTGGTTCCTCGTAATGTCCTGGTTGATGGCCCCATTTGTATTCAATCCTTCTGGTTTTGATTGGTTGAAGACTGTATATGACTTTGATGACTTCATGAACTGGATTTGGTACCGTGGCAGCATATTTGCAAAAGCTGAGCAGAGTTGGGAAAGATGGTGGTATGAGGAGCAGGATCATTTAAAGACCACTGGGTTTTGGGGAAAGGTGATGGAGGTGATCTTAGACCTAAGATTCTTCTTTTTCCAGTATGGTGTTGTATATCAGTTTGGAATTTCTGCTGGCAGTACGAGTATTGCTGTTTACCTGTTGTCTTGGATATGCGTGTTTGTGGCCTTGGCAACTTATGTGGTTGTAGCATATGCTCGGGATAAATATTCTGCAAGAGAGCACATCTACTATCGGCTTGTTCAATTCCTCATAATTATACTTGCAGTAGTCGTTATTGTTGCCTTGCTAGAATTCACAGCATTTCAAGTTAGAGATATCTTCACTAGTTTGTTGGCGTTTCTTCCCACTGGATGGGGATTATTACTGATTGCCCAAGTACTCCGGCCCTTCCTCCAGAACACCGTACTTTGGGAAACTGTTATTGCTGTGGCACGATTCTATGATATATTGTTTGGAGTGATCGTCATGGTTCCTGTGGCAGTGCTGTCATGGTTACCTGGGTTTCAGTCAATGCAGACGAGGATCTTATTCAACGAGGCTTTCAGTAGAGGCCTTCGAATATTCCAGATTGTTACTGGAAAAAAGTCCAAGGTCGATCAAGATTGAGGTAATTGCTTTATTGGCATAAGGCGGCTTTGATTTACAATCCATCTATTTATGGTTGGTAATTTTCTTTGAAATGGTAACTGATAACGAAATGTCGCTACTCATTTTAGGGTTAAAACTTCAGCAGGAATGTAGAAAAATCATATGATTTGGTAGCCTGTGTTCGTGATTTTGATTGGCCAAGGTTATTTCGGACGCTAAAATCATGGAGACATGAAAACTCTTCTACTTGTGATTATATTTGTTTCGCATTTCAAATTTGTGTACGAATCAGCTTTTCATAGGTAAATTTTGTTGGTACTTTTGGGGAGGTTTTATGTATTATATTCTCCCACAGCACGGTTACAACACTGACGCAGAAAGAATACGTTGTAATAGATTGCCTAATCTTATGATTTTTGAGTTCTTGACAATTCTTTTTCTCGCATATGCAGTGATTTGTTAATGTAAAAGTGAACACAGTGCTTGTAGCTTTCCTTGAGATTATACATACATTTTTGCTGTCATTCCGGACTATCTGTTATTAAAGATTGTTTTTATTTTTAGCTTGGTCGACTTGAACTTCTGAATTAATACCAATTGTATTGTAAATATAGTCCAAAAAGAGAACATGCAAAAGGCCCTAATAGACATCACACCGATGTTTAGCTCCAACTCGTCTTGGTCCTCAAACTCACCCCTCGTTGACCGATGAGGTCGATAGTGGGTGCAACTTCAGGCTCCTGAGGCTCGGTAAGAGCAAGACACTCGCATAATGGGCTAATAATTGTGATCAAGTTCTGCAGACTAGTTGGTATTGTGGCTTTGGAGAAAACTTGAAATGTAAGAAGATTATGACTTATATATTTGCTCAAAAACATTACAGCTTGTACCAGTTCATATATGGTCTGGTTGAATTTCAATACTATAGGTTAAACTAACTAATCTATTCTCAATATGTATAAACAGAAAAAGCAAAGGGTAGAGAGCCAAAATATAGCAGGAACAAATTGAATTCTCTGAAATAAGATATAGTCAGATGCTCACCATCTCTCAGCACACATATTTCAATGCTTTCAGTTGTTGGGTGTCTCCACCAACTCTTGCCAACCTGCAAGATTGCTCTATAATAAGGCGATATATTGATGGCCTTTCCCACGGGACGATCCCGAAATCGTCGTTACTCTCTTCCATTCCTTCAACAAGGAACTGCCAGGCTAAAGAGCCAGCTCCTGATCGCTTCTTCTTGGCAGATTTGTAAATGACGTCGTAAACAGTTTTGTAAAATCTATCTCGCTGTTCTGGGGTGAAGCCTATGTTCAGGTTTGACAGTCCAAATTCAGTAAACATGACTGGCTTCTTCATCTCTATGTCACCATCTGCAATATGAGAGAGCATCCACTTGGAGACAAACCTCAGTTCATCTTCAAAATCTTGATCATGGAACCTAACGGACACAGAATGGTAAATTCGCATAAGATAACCGATAAAAGACAAGCGTGCTTACCATATAACAAAGAACAGATTAAGAGCATAGACATTGCTTGAATCGTTGAGGTATAAGGAATTGGATGAATATAAAGAACCAACATACAACTTGCAATTGCGGTTCAATGTCTTACCAATGATCGGGGTAGATATGAACAGAGGCAAAATCTACATGTGGGATTGCAGAATTGCGGACGAAATCAGATCCAAGTCTTGATGCCCACTCTTCCGGGTTCACAGTAGACTTCTTGGGGCTCGTTGGACCGTAAAATCCTTCCAACCCGACAGTTAGTAGATGCTTCTTGTCAATCGATTTAATGTAAGCTGACATTTCTTCAATCCACTCCTATGATTTCATTCCTCAAAATTAGTTGAGAAAGCGATTTGGGGGGACAAATTGAAGGATTAAACAGAGGGCCAAGGATGAGTCAATTGTGAATATCACTACTGCTATTTACTGATAAATATGAAGAAAGTAAAGTTCTTCATAAAATGCAGGACAGCAGGAGTATCCCAGGGAAAATCAAACTTAATTGAGGAATATCAAGATTCGAACTGGAATCCATGGGTTCAATTTTCATTTGGTTTAAGATTCAGAAGTCAGAAGAATCAAAATCTTACAACTTACTTGAAGAGTATCGCCTGAAGCATCGGTCATGCAACGTGGTTCATTAATCAATTCCCATCCAAAGATGGTAGGATCATCTCTATATTCAATTCCAGTGATAGAGTTCTTTCTTGTCAGGACAGTCTGGAAAATATAACACACATTAGAACTACTAAACGCCACACTGTAGCAATGTGGGATCAGCAAAGACAAGGGAAATCATTTTTGTTTGGGCCACAGAACTAATGCCTTATGCAGTGATATTATGCATCTAGTGGACTACAGGGACAACTTAGCCATTGGATCAATAAACTCAGAATCCATAGTACAGCCATGTTATGAGAAAGATTGGACAAACTTGTTGATCAATGTGTACCTTAATATAATTCTTAAAATAAATGCGAATGGACGGATCATAGAAGAAGGAATCATTGGAAGAACTTAAACCAACACCCTCTTGCCATGCCCACTTCACGTACTGAGTCTTCCCACCATATGCTTGCAAGTTGTTGACTAAGCAAAGGAGAAGCCTTATGCCATGTTGTCTTGCTTCTGCAATGACATGATCCAAAGCCTGCCACCACCAAGAAGAACCTGTTAAACTAAGCTGATAACAATGAAACTTGGCATAGGCATTCGAGCAAACCGAAGATATCGTCAAACCAAAATAGAGAAAGCATATATACATCTATATACAAGCTAGCAGATCAAATCATGGGTTCTCATCCCCAACGTTGGGAGAGGCAAGTGAGTCATATATATATATATATATATATATTCTTGTGTATAGTTTAAACAATCTTTGCTTTCCCCTTGTTTCTCATGCATGATCTCCAAATAGAAAGAAAGAACATGATAAGAGGATGTTATCTGGTTCTTTCATAGATCCATTCTTCAATTTAAGTTATCATGTAAATAAGCAAAATCAGCTTTATATTTCTTTATCAAGCTTCTTAATCGGTTTTCAAATAATACTCCATTAGCTCAACTTTAAATGCCAAAGGTATCAGTATCAAACAGAAAATGACATATAATTTATTGTCCTCCATCTAGCTTGCTTTTCTTCTTCACAATGGCAAAAAACTATCGTTCATTTTGCAAGAAAATGATGTGATTTCGAAGTAATTCCATGTTGTTTTTATAACTGCCGACACAGTTCCTCTGTCGGTGGATGCAGGAGCTTCCACTTTTTGGCCAATGGAGTCTTCAAGCACAAGGACAAAGACGAGAAACCAATCACGAACAGAGATCCCAAGGATAGGAGTAGGAGAGTAGGAATTTCAGTTAAAACTTAGGAACAGAACAAGAGAATGAGAAAATCTAGGAATCATCAGTTACAAAATTCAACCATAAAAAGAAAAATGCAGGAATCTCAGATGTAGCAGAAAATGCAGCTCAGCAGAAAGCGAAGAAATCAATACCTTGAAGACTCGCTCATTGAAGCGGCCGGGAGAAACCTGGAGGGCGTTGTAGCCGCCATCGTTGAACGCCCATGTCCGGCAAACTGTAAGCCCCATCTTCCTCGCCGCCTGCAGCATCGCTCGGACTCTGGGCTTCCTATATTCCTCCACCGCGTGGTCCATGAACCAGTAAGAATTCCATCCATTAATATAAAACGCCTTCCCATTCAGCATAAACTGGGTTCCGTTCCTCTCTACAAAATCTATTATGGGCGCTTCGGAATACCCAAGTTTCAATTCCCCAAACGACAAGTAAATGAAAGCCAAACAAGATGCGAATCCAAGAATAGGGTAGAACAGCCCGTTCCCCGCCATCATCTCCTATAATGAATTCAATGTTGGAGGCGACTGCAAATCCAAAACGAATCTGGACGAATAATGCTAATGGCTCTCTATCGAGAAATCCGAGAATCGCCCATACCCAGATGCGATTTCAGATCAATAAACCACAGGGAACAAGAATGTCCGCAGAAATGGCCGATGCACCCAGATCCCTATATCTACCACAAATGTAGCCAGCGATTCTTCGTGGTGATTGAAATTGGTAATAAGCAATAACAGCCCACTTTAATCTAAATGCAATCTGGGGTCTCTAGAATTTATAAGAGACAAAGAAGAAGAAGAAGAAGGAAGCAAATGCAAGAATAGAGGAAGGTGCAGATGATATGATTGAAGAAATCACACCAAACTTGTACACCCCAAAAAAGCAGTCAAAAATAAAATAAAAAGAAAGAAAATTAATGAGAGAGAGATTAAGCAAGAGAGGAATAGAAATTGGGGGAGTGTGGTGGAATGTTGGTATCTTTTGATGGCTTAATTAGATCTGCGAAAGCCCCCCTTGTTTTTGTTTTTCCAAATTTTCTTTCACGACCCCAAAAAGCTACAGTTTTGCTCAACCCACGTAAATGGGCTCTTTCAAAATTCAACAAAATCAGCAGAGTAAATTAAGGAGGAACGATTATTATAATAACGTTCCTCCTTTTTTCCTTCTTCTGGGTTTGAACTTTGAAGAACAGTTGAAAGCCCAAATTTTTTTCTTTGGATATACAGACAAAGATTACCACTGCTCCTGATTCACTCACATGCTACAATTTTCTCTTGTCTCCCCAATTGATCTCTGTTTTCTTTAAGTTATTGCATCTAAGAATCTAACTCGCCATGCATCAGAAAAAATTAAAAATTCAGTAAACAATTAAAAAGAGGTTAACATCTAGTACTTTGCAGTCCACAATGCTAGATGGGGAAGATCTTAAGAAGTAATTAAATATGGGAATTTCAAAGAACCCAGCTTTTTTTTCCCCCTTAATTTAGTAAAAAATTCTTGAACATTGTTAATTATGGTGAAACTAATCAGAGAGTAACCTTAATTAGCAGAGAGGCATTGATTAGCCTATCAATCAGAAATCGGCATGATTAATGATGTCATTATTGGCTGAAAAAGTAGATGAGTAAAAAAGCTCGCAAATTGCTAATTAATTCAAAGGTAGTATCTGATTAATCGGGTTTTCTTGATTAAGAAATGGAGTAAATTTTCTTTTCCCTGTTGAGGTTATTGGAATTTGGAACAATCTGGCGTGTGAGAAAGAGGATCTGATTTGATTAATTATTTTGGGAGTCTTCAAGTTTTTAAAAATAATTAATGAGATCTGTTTTTGAGAAGTAGAAACCGACAAAAATGATGAATTGGGAGAGTTGGTAATTTGGAAAAAAAGAAAAAGAAAAAAGGAATTTCCTTTTTTTTTTCTGGAATAATAATTTTAAGACCAAAAACTAAAAAGAGAGCAATTATTTTCTTATGGAGAAAGATGTCCACCACCACACGCATATCTCAGATTCTCAAAATGGAAACTCAAATTAATTAATTAATTAATTATTGTTGAATTATTGTTTTTTCGGAGTCTTTTTTCCAGAAGAGTAAGGAAAAAGAAAACCTTTGGCTGAACGTATATAAAAAAAAAGTCTGTGCAATTTGAGATTAATTCTTATTTCTCAAAAAAAAAAAAAAAATCTGTGCAATTTATTCTGTCTTTTTAACTTCCAAAATTATGAGAGTTTTACTATTTTACATTTTAGTGCTTGAAGTAATTATCAACTTCAAATTTTTGTTTAAAATTCAAATTTTTACAATTTAACTTTTTAGTTTTTAATTTTATATGAGTTAGTTTCTGTTATTATTATTATTTTTTAAATAAAGTTAAAAAGCTACTCCTCGATTTAGAAATGTGCTTTTTCTTAGTCTAAAAAGACAAATTTTCTATTCACATGATCAATAATTCATTGACATATACCTGTGTAATTTTTTTCGAAGAGTCTATCGATTTGCTACACATTAAGTATGAATTCATAGCTAATCAGTGTGAAGCGAAGGATTTACCAAAAAGTTATTTTAAAATATCTATTTTAATATTTGTACCCTTGAAATGTAAAACTATTAAATAAAAATTTATTGCTATATTTCAAGAGATACGAGGAGTGAAATGTCTTACTAAAATCTCTTTGGTTAAAAAAAACTAATTTTAAGATTTATGACGGATATAGTTGGTAAAATAGATTTCAAAATTACCCTTTTGGACTCACACAAACTGCTTTGAAGGCTACCGACAGCAGCTATAACAAAGGGGAAGTACGTATTATTAAGATAGAAGTTGTACCAACTTTATTCTAAATCACTTTTGGGCAAGGCTTTTTTTAAACTGCATATCTAATTAAATGCTAAACCAAACAATTATTAGATTTGGTTGCTCATCTCAAACTTAATATATATATTTATATATGTGCATTACTGGCTAAATTATCATAATCCCTCGTTCCAAAATTAGGTCAAAGACTTAATCATAAAAAAAAATATGGTGGACCTAGTCTTAGGTCTTCTATTATCAAATGGTTGGTATAAGATTAATGAATTTAAAACAAGAAATTATCAGGCTTACTATTTTTTGAGATTAGCTTAGGTGGAAGGCTAAGGCATGGTTGGTGAGATACCACTTTGGACGAACTAAACCTCTCTAATCTCGTGTCACCATCTACAAATTAAGAGACAACTCTTTAAGTAGTAAATAGTTTTCTATGGGTATAGATAGACCTCCCAAAAGCTGAACTCATAAGTATTTAATTTACAAAAAAATGTTGATTATCTTACTTTGTCTAGGGACCAATTTCTTAATTTTTCTTATAACTTTCAAAAATACTTTTTGTTGGTCACCAAACGTAACTAAATAGTGGAAAACTATATTTTCTTAGTTGATTAGAGACACTACTTTTGAAACATTGAAAAAACAGTGACAAATCTCCTATCTACTACGGTAGCTTCCAATTAGATAAAGTAAACTAAGCATCCATCTTACATTCTCTCCGCAAGAAACGAATAAAGGGGAAAAAAAGAAGAAAAGAAGAGCAGCTTCAGTTAGACAATAACAGCAGCACACTGGAAGACAAACAAAGAAGAGAAGCCCACCAAAATTACAAAATTTCAAAGGCCATTAACGGCTCCAGTTTATTAGCGGAAGTCTTTTATAAACTTTTGTAAGGTTCTTTTTTTTTATACGAGATCCTTAACAGAGCACCAGAGTCGGGTAAGATAAGGGGCGTCTATGTCGACATTGAGAATGACAGATAATGGAGCTTCTTGCATTTAGGGAATAATGACTATGTCGTCTCTAAGGCTCACCACGTTTTTGTTTCGAGGATTCTATGATCCAATTTGAGGAATGGTTGTCGTCTCTTGATTTATTTCTCTCATGAATTTATTTTCAATTTCATCCCAGACAGAGACGAAGCCTATTTAGATACATATATAATATATTTGGTGTCCACAATTTTTCATGCTTGTTTCAATTCTAAAAATTTTAACTGGCCAAATTAGAGAAGCTTTTAATATTTAAATTTTTTTAAATATAAGACTAATGGGGTAATTTGTCATTTTTTCCCTCCCTTTGCTACAGTTGTTTGCATACATTCCGAATTTCATTTTTTTTACAAATCAACAATGTTAGTTATTTGATCACATCAACGTTAGTTTTAAAGGGATCCTTTATTTGGGGGCATCCAATAAAGTATAGCTAAACATAAAAATATAAGTTAAAAACTTGGATGCTCTTTGGGATGTGCGCCTCTTTCAGCCTTGTGACTGTTTCATCCAGAAAACTCGGGTTTTTCTGGTTTTTGTGTTTTTTTATTTGGTTTTGAACAGGAAGTGTAGGGATGGGTTCTGAAATATTGGTTAAGGAATGGGGCAAGTTGTCGTTGAAGTCAGAGGAGGAAGAGACGTCCGTAGACGTGGATGGGGCAGCGGCACTGGACATAGTAAAAAGATTGGAGGTAAGTTTGGTAGGGAAGCTTCTGCTAAAACGTAACATTAATAATGAGGTTCTAATTAATGTACTGAAGAATGTTTGGAGAATTGATGGAGAATTTGGGGTGCAAACCTTAAGGGCATAATGTCTTTCTATTCTGGTTCGAGTCTATGGCGGTTTGGAATAGGGTATTGAGAGGAGGGCCGTGGTTCTTCGACAAGGCGTTGATAGTAATGGAGAAACTTGTTTCAACCCTAAAATTGTCTGCCTTTAAATTCAGCAAGGTATCATTCTGGGTGCACTTTTGTGATTTGCCTTTGGTGTGTATGAGTGCTTCAATTGCAAAACGCCTTGTCAACGCTATAGGTCAGTTTGAGAGTGTGGATTGCCTGGAGGAGAAGTTTTGTTGGTGAAAAACCTTGAGGGTCCGAGTTTCTATAAATATAACAAAACCATTAAGGCGGGGTATCAAAGTGAATTTGGAGGGACCAATGGGTGGATGTTGGGTTCCAATTAAGTACGAAAAGTTGCCTGAATTTTGTTATTCTTGTGGTAAGATAGGACATACTAGATTGGAGTGCGATGAAGTGGTGATTGAGAGGCACGGGCAAGATCCAAGTTCCCAATATGGGTCTTGGCTCCGCTACCAGGGTGAAGGAAGAAGTGGAGGGAAGGAGTCAGAGATACCAACCAACTAAGGCAAGGGTGACAGAAATCAGTGTTCCGCATTCTGAAGATAATCAGTTAAGGGGGAAGGGGCGAGACCCCTCAGTGAAGGGGGTGGTGATTTCTTCGGAACAAGAAGGACTGCAGGGTGGAGTTGATCTTTCAATAGATGGCATAAGGAACTCTGTGGCTAGTGTGGGTTTAGATCATCGGGATGTGGAAGCTTCGACTGGGGCCATAAAATCTGGCAACATAGACCCAGGTAAGTCATTTAAAGGGTAGATTATGTGGATGCCCTGGAAGGAGGGGGCTATGGATTGGTGGATCTGATTGATGGAGAAGGGGAGAGGAGGAAGATAGTTTAAGAGGAGGGGTCTGATCTAAGGAAGGCGGAGGAAGGAACGACTTATGGAGCGAAGAAGTCGAGGTCAGAGTAAGGGAGAATGAGGTAGTGAGTCAGGTTTCAACAAAGGGGGATGGAGTGGAGACGATTTCAAGTGTTTGAGGTTGGAAAAGGAAAGCTCGGCAGATGGGGACCATTACAGAGATGGTTCCAAGCAGAGGTGTGGCAGAAGGAAGACGGAGGGGGGCCCGTTTGTAGAGGAAGTAGTAGCAAAATGACGTGAGTTGATGGTTGTGGTAGGAGGTGATGGGGTAAACACAAATGACACGATGAGATCGGCAGAGGCTAGTGACCAGCCCTGCCGGAAGCAACGAAAACCCTTTGTTGGAATGATCCGGGTTAAGTGTGACTTCTTGAGTCACAAAAATCCCCAAGTGCTTTTCTTGTCGGAAACTAAAAGTGATGGTATAGCAATGGAGAGACTTAAGCAAAGATTGAATCTACATGGCTGCTTCACAGTTGATAGTAGGGGGTCTAGTGGAGGACTTTGTTTGATGAGGAATTCAACTGTAAATGTCTCTATCTGGTCGTTCTCATCATATCATATTGATGCCGGTATTATATGGAAATCATATAGCTGGCGATTTACTGGGTTGCGGTTGGTGATCAATTTACTTGGAACGATAGAAGGAAGGAGGATGCACAAATTCAAGAACGTTTGGACCGTTTTTTGTGTAATAATGCTTTTCTGGAGATGGTTGATAACTACAAAATTAGATATCTTTAGTGGGGAAAGTCAATTGAATGCGGTATAACTGAGGAGAGTATGGGTCACCTCAGGATATGAAGGCAGAGACCATTTCGATTTGAGGAGATGTGGACATGGTACGAGAAGTGTGGATCTCTGATAGAGAG